GCTGGAGTGCAGTAGTGTGATCTTGGCTCACTGCAACCTCCCAGGTTCATGCAGTTCTCCTGCCTCAGCTTCCTGAGTAGCTGGGATTACAGGTGTCCACCACCACACCCAGCTAATTTTTGTATTTTTAGTAGAATCGGGGTTTCACCATGTTGGCCAGGCTGGTCTCGAACTCCTGACCTTAGGTGATCCGCCTGTCTTGACCTCCCAAAGTGCTGGGAGCCACCATGTCCAGCCTAGAAATTCTTTCAAAGCAGACCACTCAGTGACTGTAATATGTGAGAACCAGCTTGAGGTTCAGTCATAATCATTATGAAGATTAATTTTATAGTTATTTATATTATTGTATCATATACTCAGTGTTCTCAGTCTAGTATTGTTTGTGCTATGTAGTTAAGTAGTTTGGGTAGATCTATTTGTTTTCTTATTTTTTAGGGTTACTGGTACATGCTTTTAGAAGAATTATGTCAATACTACCGAACTTTTGTTCCCATACCAGTTTGGTTTCGCTATCTTATAAGCTATGGGGAGTTTGCTAACGTAACTAGATGGAGTCTTGGGATATTGCTGGCTTTACTCTACCTCGTACTAAAAGTAGGTAACATTACAAATCTTGTCACTGCATGATTCATATTAATGATTACTGATATATACTACTGTTTTCCTCTTTAACAGTTTTATAGTTTATCTTTGTATCACTAGTTTGAAGTAATAGCAGGTTCTATTTCTGTTTAGAAATGGAGAAACAGAAATAGACTATCTTAATCCAGCGGTCCTCAGTTTTCATTGGAGGGAAGGGGAGTAGACTTTCACATAGCATGGATTATCTAAGTAGGGAAAACAAGTGGAATAGAACATACCCATCCTCGGTAGTAACACTGTCATACACATAATTCTTAAACTAGTAGAGTACCTTGCCCTGTTCGCTCCATACCTGTGCCCCTCAACCTAATAATCACTTTCTGAAACTTTAAAATCTAAATGTTGGCCAGACGTGGTGGCTCACGCCTGTAATCCCAGCACTTTGGGAGGCCGAGGTGGGCGAATCACGAGGTCAGGAGTTCAAGACCAGCCTGGCCAACATGGTGAAACCTCATCTCTCCTAAAAATACGAAAAAAACTAGCCAGGCATGGTGGCGGGCGCCTGTAGTCCCAGCTACTCAGGAGGCTGAGGCAGGAGAATTGCTGGAACCTGGGAAGCAGAGGTTGCAGTGAGCTGAAATCATGCCACTGCACTTCAGCCTGGGCGACAGAGTGAGACTCTGTCTCAAAAATAGTAATAAAATCTAAATGTTAAAAACGTGAATCAGATAAAATTACTTTGACTTTGACATAGTTGTTTGTATTTGTCTTGATCAAATTGTTACTCTAGGTGTTTAAATGTACTTCAGCTTGCTGAGATGGCTGAAATCTATAAATTGAATAAAATATTCAGCACAAAATGATTACTTGTAACATATAATGAGCATTAAGTTAATATGAGGATTTGATGTTATGGGGTTTCAGCTTTGGTTTTTGGGTTTAGCAGATAGGACTGTTGAATTAATAAATGATCTCTTACTCTTCCCTTTTCAGCTTTTGGAATTTTTTGGGCATCTGAGAACTTTCAGACAGGTTTTACGAATATTTTTTACACAACCAGTAAGTACTTTTTATCAGTTAAGAAAAACACCTTCACCATTCTTCATTGCTAAAATTTTTTTAGTCCAGCAGTTTTACAAGAATGGATTTCATAAATGGATGATCCTTTTCTTTTACTTTGATGATTTTCTAGTACTTTGGCACTTGGGGCTATAATAATTTAGGAATTTTATCTCTATGATCAGATTCTTGAATCACACATTGACAACCACCTGCTAATTGTTGGAGTGCTTATATATTTGAACTTGTCTCTTGCCCCTTCAATCCATTTGACATTTTTAAGGGCTTGTAAACCCTTAAAAATCTTATGAACTTTTGTTCCTCTTTTTTAATCCACAAATAGGGGCTTTGCGTGTTCCTATTAACTCCTTATTCACCTGTGAAAATCCTTTGACTATAATTTATTGTGTATGTTTAGAAAGCTCATTGCCAAAAATCATGTCTCTTGCAGTTTTCTTACTGGAGCAAATTTCCCCATTGCTCGATTATATGTGCACAAATAAGCTCATGGCATGAAATTTAACAATTGAGACTCTGATGTCATTTATAATATGATTATGTGGTTCTATTGATGTTGCAAATTGTAGTGAAAGGATGTCATAGAGGACCCTAATTTACTACTTAGTAGCCTGAAAGGTTCCCAGTACCTACATGTGGTCACCAGATTTCAGGGTTTGATTCTCAACTTTGCAGTCATTTCACCAGGGCTCAAGGAGACTGACTTAAAAGAATGCCAACAGAGTAATATACTGTAAAAAAAAAAAAAAAAAAGTTTTATGTTTACAAAGTAAACCAGACTAACTGGCCAGGGCATCTTTTCCCTAAGATTAGAGCTAGCAATGTAGAAACAAACTTTGCTACATCCTATGTAAGCTTCTTTCTCTAGACAAGACATAATAAAATTCAGAGAGTTCAGCTTTGTCCAAGTCAGTTCAACTGATGATTATGTGAGCATCAACCATTTTACTATAATTGGTCTTGTAAGATTTGTGCCGAAATACTCTCAAGAAAATACCCTGATATTCTTTCTCTGAGACAAACTATAGAGAGGATATCAGTCATGAATACTTTGATTTGTTCAAGTCTCCTTTACCAGGGCAATGGCAGTTACTATCTGGAGAGGGAGTCTCCAAGATGCCAGATGAGTAATGTTTTAAAAGCTTGTCAGCATAATTATCTGCACATGTACTTTGCTAAATGATACCTTACTGAAGGGAAATTGACACCAAGATCATCTAACAGTATTCTGACTTGTTTCTGAAATCTTTATCACCAGTCTCAAAAAGACCTAACTTTTAATATCTTTTTCCTTTGAGTTTTACTTTGATTTTGATGTTGTTAGCCTGAGACGTTTAGTACAAGAAGTTTACGTAACTTCAGATATGTTAAGTCATGTTTTACCCTCATGACCGTGACTGAACTTGGGTGTTTTTACATCTCTTTAGTTACCTCTTCCCCATCATTTCTACAGAAAGCAGGTTTCATCTGTAACATTTTGATTTCTCCAAATTTCTCTGAGGGTTATTAACGTCACATCTAGTTAATGACTAAGTTCTGAATCTGGTGAGGAAGTTAAAATCTTAGAGACGAGAAACTTGTTATTAGGACATTAGAATTCAAATAATTGCATTTTTGTTCAGTTAGTTTTCACAGTAGTTATTCTACCCAAGCGACATTTACAGTTGCAGTTTCTCTGTAAAACTTTTTCATGTTTAGCACTAAATGCTTTTTATAATTTGGAATAATCTTTAGACCTAGTGGCAGAACACTCTTCAGTGGTCCCTAAGTCTTCTTCATATTGCAGTCACTTGGAGACCTTTCAAATAATAGATTACTGGGTCACATCCCAATATGTCTGGTCCTACTGAATCAATATTGTGTGGAACAGAGGAATCTATTTTTAAAGCAAGCTTTCCACATGAGTTACATTCAGCCAGCCAAGCTCTGGCTGGATTGATTTTATGAACCACTGCTGCAGGTAATAAGTGAGCTCCATTTGGCAGTCCAGGGTCAAATAATACATGGCTATAGATTTTATAATAGTTATGTTTCAGATTGCCTAGTCTCTTAAGCCAGTTATGTTGAATTTGAAGCACTGTCATCCTTTGGAAAGCTAGTAGATCTAACAATCTTCCAAAATCCTATTATGTATTATTTAATGATTTCATCTTGGTACACTCAAGAGGTGGTTCTGTATATGTAGTTCAGCTTTGAAATGTTTGTATCCTTTGGGAAGGTTTTCAAATGCCTGGTTCCAGGGAGATTTGAGAAGTACAGCATCACTTATGTAATTTGAGAACAGGAAAGAAGGAAATTTGTAGATGAACAGAACTTACTATCTTCATAGAGTTATGGAGTGGCTGCCAGCAAGAGACAGTGTTCAGATGTGGATGATATTTGTTCAATATGTCAAGCTGAATTTCAGAAGCCAGTTCTTCTCATCTGTCAGGTAATTACATTTTTAAATTTAAAAACCTAAATACAACACTTTTCTGTGACTTGCAAAAGTCACATTTATGTTTGTTGTAAGGCAAAAAAAAAATCTAGTGTTTAGTGGAATGTAGCATTCAGTGTACATACTAGTAATTTATTCACTATCGGGGATTGGTGGATTGGCTTTGTCCCTTATATTCTGAAAATTTTTATGCAGAGGAGTGTATGAAAGGGAAAAATAATTTAACTGGCAGATTGAATACCAAAGTGATTAAAAAACAGGCTATTTTTATAATTGGATACTAGCCATTTAGAACACCACCATTTGTTACTGGATTGTGGCCCTTTCCTACACTTTATGGCAGTTACTAGTAACTCCAAGACTTTAAGCTGTTATCACACTTAATCTTAAAGGTGTCACCTAAGTATAACTTTTATGGTTAAATGGATGGTACAGCCAGAACACTAGTGCCAATCATACTGCTCTTTGCTTCTTGAATGTCTCATACGTTCTCCATTTTCACAATTGTAAAATGAGGGGATTAGTGCTCTTCAAAATCCCTTTCAGGCTGGACACAGTGGCTCACACCTGTAATCCCAGCACTTTGGGTGGCCCAAGTGGGTGAATCACCTGAGGTCAGGAGTACGAGACCAGCCTGACCAACATGGTGAAACCCTGTCTCTACTAAAAATACAAAAATTAGCTGGGCATGGTGGTGGCAGGCACCTGTAATCCCGGCAAGTTGGGAGGCTAAGGCAGGAGAATCGCTTGAACTTGTGGGGGGCAGAGGTTGCAGTGAGCCGAGATGGCGCCATTGCACTCCGGCCTGGGTGACAGAGCAAGTCTCCAGTCTCCATCTCAAAAAAAAAAAAGAATCCCTTTCATTCCCTACAATGTGATGGATTTAAAATTATTATCAAGTATAAAATCTAATTCTTAATTCCATTACAGCATATATTTTGTGAAGAGTGCATTACCTTATGGTTTAACAGAGAGAAAACATGTCCACTCTGCAGAACTGTGATTTCAGACCATATAAACAAATGGAAAGATGGAGCCACTTCATCACACCTTCAAATATATTAAGTTGTATAAACTATTAAGGCCACAAAATACTAATGTCATTTGGTCATAACTTCTGATAAGGCATCAGAATGATTTTCAGGGCTGCAAGAAAAATGTTTCCAGATGGTTTTAGAATGTAAGACTTATGGTCCAATTCACCAAAAGATTAAATGAAAGAACCCTATTTTAAAATATATATAATGTTCAACCTAATGTATGTGCAACATTTATTCTATTCTAATTATTTGACAGGTAACTGCAGTGTTAAATTGTAAATGTGTTTTCTTAATGTTACCCAAAACAGCAATTTGAAATTAGAACTAGTGGATTTAGAGAACTCAGGTATTCTTTCCTGACATTGTTTTCAGAATAAAGAATATTTTTCATAATATTTTAAGATACATACTATCTAATAGTAGAATTTTGTTCAGCATTGACTTTTATAATTCCCATCCTAAAAATTAATATTTTCATAAAATTTGTATTTTTAAATGAAAATTCTAAATGTTATATTTTATCAGTAACAGATTTTCTAAGTGAAGATTAATTTACTGAGGATGATACATTTTAGTATTGTATTATTCTCTGTAGTAAGACTAGTAATCAGTGAAAATAAATGGATTCATTTTGTCTGTGGACGTCATAAATTCTTCCTGCCGTCAGCTTTAATGTTCATGATCATGCTTTTTGTATAGTACCATGGAGTATCTTGAAGTAACTATTAAAATAATTCATGTGGATTACAAACAGCTGGCTTACTTCATGATTTGAATAGTATAAAAAACATGGTGGCTCACACCTGTAATCCCAACACTTTGGGAGGCAGAGGCAGGAGGACTGCTTGAGCCCGGGAGTTCAAGACCAGCCTGAGCAACATCCCATCTCTATTTTAAAAAAAAAAGAAAAAAGTTTCAAGGCAGATGCCCTAAAATCTTAGAAGAATTGCCCTTATAATTAGTCTTCTCCATAAAAGTTTTGGAATTTTATGCTTGAATCACCATCAATTGGAAGATTAAAGCTTGCACTGAGAGGTGGTCATGAGGTTTTTATAGTGTGGTTTTTTGCGTCTAGGTATTTGTGCAGGGTGTTAGAAAAGGGAATGAAGCACTTTCTCCCCTTGTTACCTCTAAGGAGGAATCTGAAATCTAAAACATGTCTGAAGGGCTGCTAGTGCTTATATCTAAGTTTAGAGTACATCTATCAGTTTGTAGTCGAGGAAAAGGTGGTAGAAAGGAGAACTTAGGAAGCAGAGATAGAAAACAAATTTGCTGTACCGGTAAAACAAAAGCTAATCCAGCACGTGGATTAATAAGGATACTGACCAACTGGTTATAGAAGGCACTTTCATGACTGTATGGCCATCCAAATTGACAAATGAACATTAGCAAGCCTGTACCTTTTTTTCTCCAGGTAAATACTACCACGTTGTAAGGACAACTGTATTCAATCATAGTATATTTCACTTTGTTATCTACTTTGAGACCCACTACAAATATTTAAATGGCTTTGTGGTGATGCTAATAGTTGTATTATTTAGGTATACAGCAGAGGATGGGTGAGAAAAACAATTTGGGATTACAATTCGGCTGTGAAGGATAGCCAAGATGACTTCCTGTTCAAACACAAGAATAGCATTTTACTTCAGCCGTATTACAATACCTATGTAATACATTTGTTTACCCTGTAACTATTCAGACAGTACTGTTTCTTAATGTGATTAAATAACCAAGGAGGTGCATGGTGGGTTTTTTATTTTTTTGGGGAATGCAGTTTACCTATAAATTGAAAAGGGAGAAAATCTAATGGAGCTATGCCATCCAATAACAATGCTGATGAACTGGAAGCATTTCTTCCATCCCTCTATTCCTTCACCTCAAAAAAAGGTAATACAGATTCAGAAACTCATTTATTCTGAATTCAAATCATGACTTCTAAAAGATTGTTTTACCAGTATTGGTATGCTACTATGTTGTATAGCAAGGTAAAATCAGTTTGAGAGCTTCTGTAGAGAAATTCCCTTGGCAAGTGTGGTATAATTACCTCACAGATAAGAAGTGGTTTGTGCAGAATACCCAGCTTACACTGGATATATTGAGACATTAGTTAAAACAGATTTGTTCACTACGTTATTTTGTGCATACACATCAAATTTTCAAATGTAGCTGACCAAGTATGGCTGAACAAATTGTTGATTGTTAGCACACGAAGGTCTTCCTAGAGTTTTTTGTGAAGCTAGCTTTCACGTAGGTTGTTACATGTATTTTTTTTAAGTAAACAATTCGTGTCTACTATCTGACATGAAAATCAAAGATGTGTAACATTTAACATAAAAATCAGTAAACTTGTTACATACTTAAATAGCTTCAATTTCTCAGCAGAACAGCTTTTAACCCATTCCTTACATAGTTTATTTATATGACAATTTGAACACATCTGACATGTTAATGAAAATAAATTTAAACCATTTATACACCTGATATATATACTAATTTCTTCCTATCATAGGATAATAAAAAATAAATCACTTCTATTTTATGTTCATTCAAATTTGCATTTAATTTCTATTTACATTCATTCAATCCGAAATCAAATAATACAGTAAACTAAATACAAGATGAAAAGCAGAAAAGGTGTTACCCTCATAGCACTCCTAATAAGGCAGCTGAAGAATTTTATTTACTGATAGATGCAAAGCCAACTTGGGATAGGAGAAACAATAGTTTAAAGAGCAAACACAAACATAGACGAACCCATCTTTCAGATGTTATTCCAGATAATCCACTGAGATAATACTTGTGCTATAATGTTAAGAATCACACAAGAAAAAGTACTGTATTAATCAGCAACAGACCACAGGTTATGTGTGACAAATACTTTTGTGATAGTTTGTCCAGCTTGCTAGTGTCTACTCCTGTGAAAAAGGTAGATGTTTGGACATTGATGTTTTTGAAAAATTAACCATTTTCAAAGCCTTAAAATCTCTTCTTCATAAATTCAACATTTCTCAAGGGAATAATCTTAGATCTAGCCCTTGTAAGCTAGGAACCATACGATTAACTGAATATTCAAAATAGGTCCTATATTAAATATATAATCCAAGGCTCAGTATATTAATACTATCTAAGATGCATCTTGTTTATAATCATTTATCACCTATAGTAAAGAATGTTGAATTTATGGAATATCATACATGCATCCTCCACCCCTCCCCTCAAATTATCTTCTATCTCAAAAAATAGTATGGAAAAATCCTTCTTGAAGGATTCAAATTAGTTAAGACCATAAAAGGGGAAAAAGGAACGTAATTTTCCTAAAAATCTGGTTCAAAGTTCAATAATTAATACTTTACATTGTTAATCACAGCTGGTTTATAAATCCCAGTTTAGTTATTCTGTAATGCTACAAACCTTATAAAATCAAATTAGTAAACTTCAATTCAGTGATTATATTTTAATTAAAAAACAGCATGTATAAAATAAAAAAATATCCTGTAATAGCTGATTTTAAAGAAAATAATCAAGTGATGAAAAAAAAGCACTTAATCTCTTTTATACACTTACCTGGTATAATCATAACCCTCTTAGAAACTCAAGACTAGTAATATCGACATCATATTTTAAACTATGCTTGGATTTTTACAAATAAATATAGATAAGCCATATTGCATAGGTGTGTGCTTTCTGTCTGTGACACTAATGTGACACTTGACATGTTTTCACAGTCATAGTAGGGATATCCATTTATGAAACAAGTTCTCAATAAACTTTCCACAGCATGGGAAATAAATTTCACTTAATAAATGTGAAGTCAGAAAAACTATGTATTTGTGTGGATGGTAGCTGTGCAATTAATGCTTTTTATGCAGAAAAGTTGCAGTGTTTGCCACTATTGCTGGCACTACTAATTATGAAAATGGTTTAACTGGGGTGGTTATAGCCAACCAATCACAGTGCTCATGTTACTAGCAAATAGGACCTAGGAGGAATATTTTGGTGTATAAGTTTCACTGGAATTTGGTCAGGCAGTCAACACTACAGTTAGTAAACATATTTGAAAACAAGTATTAAGAGTATCACAAGCCATTTACAGTCTGAAATAATGCCTGTACATATCACCATAGCTTTTCGGGTTCTGTTTTTTCAGATATCACAAATTGTCAGAGAACAAGGATCTGCACTTTAAAGTATAATTTCTGCCCTTAATTATTATTGTAGCTTCTAATTTACCAGCAACAGTCATAAAGTTCTCAGTAGGCTGCTGCAATAAGGGAGGAGGGGTAAGAGGGAGTGATTTTTTTTAAAAAGGCTTTCTGTCCAAAGATGAGCTTTTATCTCTTCTTTCAATTATTGCCACAATTGAAAAGGTATATTTCCAATCATTTTTCATGGTTCTGTTTTTGCTTACTGTCACAGGATTTCATCCCATCTCATTTGGGTTGCAATTTCAAAAAGCAAAGCCTTGCTCTTTTCTGACTGAATTCAACATGCATAAAGAATTTTATGGCTTGGATCCTATGGCTCAAAAAGGTTTGAAAACATAGCAAGCAGCATCTATTTAAAAAAATCCTAGGGTTGCAAAATACTACAAATTGACTTTGCACACTCAGACTGAAGACATTATAAAAGACAAAGAAAAACAGGTGATAGAACTCAACTGCAACTGCATGATCATCTATTATACCAGTATGCACTGAAATATATTTTTATAAAGCTCTGCAGATATTAAACCCTTTCACCAGCTAAAGTCATGGAAATGCTCTCTTTAAGGCAGGAAATATTTAAGAAAGGTAAAGTTACCTTTATTTTTATTCTTTGTACCTGTAAATCATTTATGTAGATTTTGTTACAATTTCAAAAACATAGTGTCCTGTTAACATGTTTCCTAAATTAAGTCACTAAGTTTTCTTATTTACTGTGGAAGACATTCATCAAAAGGCCATCAAATATTTTTACAATCAAAAAATGTAGCCCCAGTATAGGAGAAAAAAAAAATAGACCTTTTTTTCTTTTTAAAACTGTTGAGGAAAAAATATAAGGAAAGTAGACAGCAGAAACAGTAGAAAGAAGTAAAACTGAAAATCTTACCAATTTGCTGTAAAGAGATTAGACAGAGAGTGGGCCACAGCAACACCCTCTTCCCCTGGATATCCCTATCTCCCTCACCTTGCCGACCGCAGTATGTATTTTTTATCCTGACTCTCTTTTGTTGTTCTTCAGCCAAAGGCTGAGCACATTTGGCGTCTTGAACCAAATACTGGTATAAAAACAGGTGGCGATTTTTTTTCCAGTGCAATGCAGGCCCGGGACAATGATGAAATGTAGGACATACAACTTATGCCCATTCCAAGGCTTCCAGTTAAGCTTAGCACATAGCAGTACTGCAAGTAGAAATGATTAAATAGATTCTTTTTTGTTTTCTCATATTACAGACAGGTATTGCAGCTGGGTTACTGAAAATAAACCCCAGGTCCACCCCAATCCCTCAAACGAGCCACAGCTGTGGTTAACAATGATTCATTTGCATTTTATTATTTCACCAAGAGAAGAAACAGAAGTTGTCTGGCTTTCTTCACACCAACCAATAATTTCGCATTTTAAAGTTTGGGATGTTTTTCATAATGAGCTGAATCAAAAATCTATTTGAAAAATATATATTTATATAAAAAAAAGATTCAGGTTGTTTGCACGTAAAACATCAATTGGTAAGTTTCTTTTGTCTTTGATTCCAAGTTGCTGGAAAAAGT